GGGTAGCTCAGTCGGTTGAGTGCCTGACTGTTAGCATCAGCTCAGATCATGATCTCAGGGTCCTGGGATCCAGCCCCGCATTGGGCTCCATGCTCAGCAGGGAGTCGGCTTGAGATTCTTTCTCTCCCTCTTCCTCTGCCCCTCCCTCCAGCTCACGCACTCTTTCTCTATCTAAAATAAATAAATAAATATATATATATATTTTTTATTTCTTTAAAATGCCAAATTTTTTTTTAAATGCCAGATTTCATCATAAGGAATCTCATGAAACTTGAAAAGGACTGCTTCCTCCTCAGCAAAGATGTATTGATTCAAACTGCCCTAACACCTAGACATGTGGACCTGTTTCATAAAGTGTTTAAGAATCATGGGCTGGGCAATTGCACTACTAGGTATTTAACCCAAAGATACAAATGTAGTGATCTGAAGGGGCACCTGTACCCCAATGTTCATAGCAGCAATGTCCACAATAGCCAAACTGTGGAAAGAGCCGAGATGTCCATCAACAGATGAATGGGTAAAGAAGATGTGGTCCATATATACAATGGAATATTAACCATCAGAAAGGATGAATACTGCCATTTACATTGACATGGTTGGAACTAGAGGGTGTTAAGCTAAGTGAAATAAGTCAATCAGAGAAAGACAATTAGCATATGGTTTCACTCATATGTGGAGTGTAAGAAACAGCACAGAGGATCATAAGGGAAGGGAGGGAAAACTGAATGGGAAGTCGTCAGAGAAGGAGAGAAACCATGAGACACTCTTTAGCTATAGGAAACAAACTGAGGGCTGATGGAGGGGAGGTGGATGGGGGGATGGGATAACTGGATGATGGGTATTAAGGAGAGTACATGATGTGATGAGCACTGGGTGTTATAGGCAACTGATGAATTATTGAACACTACATCTGAAACTAAGTATGTACTTTATGTTGGCTAATTGAACTTAAAAAAAAAAAAAGGCGGCTGGGTGGCGCAGTCAGTTAAGCGTCTGACTCTTGGTATCCACTCAGGTCTTGAGCTTCAAGCCCCACTGTGGGCTGTATGCTGGGTGTGGAGTCTACTTAAAAAAAAAAAAAAAAAAGAATCATGGGTTTAACTATGGCAAACAGTATGGAGGAGCCTCAAAAATTAAAAATAAAACTACCATATGATCCAGCAATTCCACTTCTGGGTATTTATTCAAAGGAAACAAAAACATTAACTCAAAAAGATATATGCACCCCCATATTCACAGCAGCATTATTTATAATAGCCAAGATATGGAAACAACTTAAGTGTCCGTCAGTGGATGAATGGATAAAGATGTGGTATGTGTGCATATATATGCGCGCGCACACACACACACACACACACACACACACCTACACAGTGGAATATTATTCAGCCATAAAAAGACAGGAAACCCTACTATTTATGACAACAGCGATGGGCCTTGAGGGCATTACGCTAAGTGAAGTCAGACAAATACTGTATGATTTCACTTATATATGGAATCTTAAAAAAAAAATCATAGAGAAAAAAGATCAGACTTACGGTCACCAGAGGTGGTGGGGCGAGGAGTGGGGAATTGGAGAAAGGTCAAAAGGTACAAACTTGCAGTTGTAAGATAAATAAGTACCAAGGCATGTAATGTACAACGTGATGACTAGTGCTGACACTGCTGTATTATATACAGGAAAGTGGTTAGCAGAGTAAATCCTAAGTGTTCTCATCACAAGGAGAAATTTCTTCTTTCTTCTTTTTTAACAATCATATCTATATGGGAAGATGGATGTTAGCTGAACCTACTGTGGTAATCATTTTACAATATATATAAATCAAACCATCATGCTGGACACCTTAAACTTATACAGTGAGATATGTCAATTATTTCTCAATAAAGCTGGAAAAATATCACTAGCTTAGTCACTAATTAGTTGTTGATAAATGAGGAACACAATGTAAACTTACTTAGAGGCAAATGAGGGAGAAGTGATGGCCCCCTAGCCTAAGAAGGCAAAACATAACTTAGGGGAGCCAGAAGGAGCAATTTATTGTACCTGTCCAAAAATCCTGATTGTGGTCGCTTGAACTCAGTAGAAGATTAGAAAGAAGTGGTACAGGTCATTGGAAAAGCCAGGGCTGATGTCCAACACACTCCTGACTTTTTGCAGTCTTGGTCCAGCAGGGCAACAGTCTAACAGCAGGTCACAAAAATATAATTTTGGGCTATAGAATATCACTCTAAATTCAGTTAAGAGGTTTTGGTTCAACTGGGTGTTATACGCAAACAATGAATCATGGAACACTACATCACAAACTAATGGTGATTAACATAACATAATAAAATAAAATAAATAAATAAAAAGAGGTTTTGGCCCATAAAGGATCCTTTTCCTGAATTTAAGGAGACCATGCTCAGGTGGCAGTAAGGAATCTTGGTCACCTTTCTCAAGGTGAGTCTTTGTTCTGGTTGAAAACCATTTTGGCTGTGAGCATTCCCTTAGGAGTTTGTGTATTTACTTGTGTTGTGTTTTGCTGTTGCTGTTGCTGTTGTTGTTTTGTGTGTGTGATTGCGATTTGGGAAGGGTGGGAGGAAGAGGTTCCTTTCCCAGAAACCAGAGCTAGGTAGGCTTGCAAAGAGATAAACCTAGAATTATTCTTAGAGCTGACCATATGTTAGAATGATCTGGCAAGCTTTATAACCAACAAAAATTCCCGCGTTTGGGTTCAGAACTCTGGAGGTGGGACCCTGGCATCCAAATACTGCAGAAGCGCCTAGCTTATTTTCGCATCTGGCCAGCGCTGTCAGGGTTAAGAACCATTGTTTCAGAATTTTAGAATTTTCTAGTACAGATACCCTGTAGATCTCTCGTTTTTGGCACCCTCTCAGGGAGGTGTGGCCTAACGGTGCTTCTCAAACAAATGTGCGCGCTGGGCGCTGTTTAAAATTCAGACTCCCAGGCTTCATCCTTAGAGAGTACTAGAAGATCACCCTTGGCGCAGGGTCCAAGAAGCTTCATTTTATCCACAAGTAGTCCGGAGGGTCACAGTCCCGGAAGATTAAAGCTTGAGGGAGCTCCCCACAGTCGTGGGGAGATTAGGAACTGGGAGGGACTGGTGGAAGAAATAACCCAAACTTGTGAGGACAGACCCCCCCCCCCCCCCCCCCGCCATTCCTGTTATTCGTTGGCCCCTTTTCCTCTGGGCAGTTTGGGCCGGGACCAGTGAGGGAGACGTGAGTGTGGCAAGGTGGGTGGCGCTGGATATAGTTGGCCCTACAGTCCGGAAAATTCCCTCGGGACCCGGGCGGGGGTGAGGTGAGGGGTCCTCCCTCCTCTAGGTCCCTTTGCTCCGCGCCGCCGCTTACCAAGGGTGGTCCCCGGCCACCTCGGAGCCGCGTCCCACAGGGGCGCCCGGGGCGGGGGGGGGTTGGGGGGCGTCGCGGCCGAGGAGGGGGCGCGACGCCGGCGCCCGGGCTGGGGCAGAGGGGCGGCCGCGGGCCGGGGCGCGCGCACCGTGGGGCCGTCGTCCGGGCGGGGCCCCGGCCTTGCCTCCCCGCGCTCGCGGCACCGCCTCCTCCCCACGCCGCCGGCGCGGTCCGGGGGCGGGGACTCGCCGCTGCGGAGGCCGGAGACGCGGCGGCGCTGGGTGCGGCGCGGGGCGCGCGGCGCTGAGCGGGCGAGAGCGCGAGGCCGGCGGCGGGAGAGCGGCGGGCGGTCGGGGAGCCGGGCCCGCAGCGCTGAGCGGCCGCCGGAGCGGCGGCAGAAGGTGAGTGCGCGGCGCGGGTGCCCCAGGTCCCGGGCCGCCCTGGCCGCCTTCCCTCTCCCTGGTTCTTCCCCGGCCCGGGGCCCGTGCCCCGGCCGCAGCCTGTCACCGGAGCCCCCGAGGGGCCCAAGCCTTCGCCCCGGGGCCGCCTCCGCCCCCAGGTCCCCGGCCGCAGCGAGGGGCTGTGTGAGGGTTCTCTGCCCCCGGCGGAGGCCGGTCTGGGGCGTGCGGGGCCTTTCTTTTTTGTTCTCCGCTTTGTCACGCGCGTCGGCATCCGAAGCCGAAAGCGTGCAGCCCCGAAGTCTCACTAGTGCGGGTCCCGCGGGGGTGACTGGCGCAAGGGGAGTGCGGGTGGCCGCCGCGCGCCGCTCACCTCCGCGTCCTGGGTGCCCACGTTGGCAGCGGTCGCGTCCGGGCAGGTGACCGGAGCCCGTCTCGGGGATGCTCCAGGTTCCCTCCTGGATGTGTATTTCCCACCTATGACTGTGTGGAGCGTAGAACTTTTGCTCCGCTGTAAAAATAGCCCCCTGGGTTTATATACAGTTTCTGTTTCACACCCTGTTTGTTTGTAATGATTTTTTTCTTAAGGTAAAATAAGAAAATACCTACTTTGATGAATGTTCTTTTTAGCGGAATTTAAGGACCATTGTATTGGGAATGCCATGATGTTGCTGGTCATTTTCAGATATCCCTTTTCCAAATTTGCATAACCAAACTTGCGTGGCTTTCATGGGTCGGAGATTTTCTTTGTCTGGTTTGGGGTCTCCGAGGCCCTACAGCTTGAAATTCCGCAGAGGTTGAGGGACATTCCTAGGGGTGGATTATTAAGATGTCGCACAGTCTGATGAAATATTTAACAGCTTTCGAGTGACTCTGTTTGGCTTATAGCCATCAGATTGACTCAAATATAGGCAGTTTTAGTATTTTTGAAATTTTTGGAGCATGAAACCAGAAGAGCAGTGGAGGCTCTTGGCGGTGTGGTCCTTCCTGTTTATGTTATAGCAGATTAAGGTAAGCTCATGCATGGGAAGAATAATTTTATTTTATTTGTAAATAGAAAGCAGTAATTTGGTAAGACTTGCTGTCCCTAGGCCAGAACTCAATTTTTAAGGTATCAGTGGTCAAAAAGACATTGAATTCTGAGGATGTTTAAGAAAACAATCAGCTCTTCCAGATGTATTTTGTTCTCCTATGGAGAGGTTATCACATTTTTCCCCCCATTGGTTTTGTTCAAAAATGAAGCACCAAGAATGGTTGGGGAGCTGGGGGCTATCAGATATGGACGATATTACTCTTGGGAGCTAAGGAAGCCATCTCCTTTCTAATTGCTGGCTGTGGGCCTAGTTATTGATGAAGGATGAAAAGATTTTGTATTATATTATTTTTTGAGGGGTGGGGCAGAAACAAGTGAGGGTGGTTGACTGTGTCAGGCCTGGGAGTTTTTGTGGCCACCCAGGAGGGAGGAAATTGCTGACCTTATTGAAAATCCTATGAATGTGCAGACAGGCTTTCTGCATCAGAAGCACAAAGGGTAGAAGGGCAGTGCCTGGGGAAACTGCCTCTCCAGGGAGGAGATGGAAGGTGGGGGTATCACTTCTAGCAGGCTGTGCTAAGCACAGTCCCCTGGCTGATACTTTAGTGAAAGGGAGCTTGAAGGTGGCCTGGCCCCCAGAGAAGGCCAGCCCCAGGAAGGGAGCGTGGGAGGCCAAGATGAGGGATGAGAGGCCCCATGCCCTGGCTTTAATGTAGTTGTATTGTTTCATTACCTTTTTTTTTTTTTTTTAAATGACCTAAGGTGAGAAATGACATCCATTATTTGGATAAGGGAAAAAGAAGCCCTTTTTTTGTTGTAAAAAAAAAAAAACTTAGATTTTTTTTTTTTTTTGCGAAAAAGGAGGAGGAATGGTCTTGATATGCTTTTGTCTCACCTTATAAAAGTGTGAGTGTTATTTCATTTGCGTGCTCCCTGCTTCCTCTAGCAAAAAAACATTCTTAGGTTATGGCCATTTTCTTTTTTAGACTTTTCCAGTTACTGATGACATTACATGAAAAGACTTGGCTTGAAGTTTCAGAAGTGCTTACCAAGTTCCCAGAGAGTCTACTTTGTTTCCCACAGTGAATTTCCTACACTTTCAGAAGAAAAAAAAAATCATGCCTTCTCTGATTGTTACAATATTTTGATCTTATTTTTATTTAAAACCTTTCAGGGTTGTGTTAATAGAACTTCCCCTAGCTAAGATTTTGGAGACTAATTAATGCCTGACAGGAGGAAAAGATACCTAAGGGTACTATATAATATGATCATGGTGATACAGACGGTAGTTTGCTATGATTTCCAAACTTTTTTGATCATTCTCATTAGTTTAAAAAACAACCTAAAATCAATTCGATGTTATATATCAATTTTCTCAATTAAACAAATGTTTAGCACTTGTCTGTATGTTACTAATTTATAAATTAGGTGCGTGTGCTATTGTGACTGTCTTGTATCTCAAGACCCAGGATACTCTTAGGGCTGGATTCATGTTTAGTGACAGTGGAGGTAAAGCCCTCTTTCATATACTCCTTGAACTGTGAGTATTTTTGGCTTGTTTCTTGTCAGATCTGATTATATCATCATAGGTTTTACTTTGTGACATGGCTCATGTAGAACTGAGGCTAAGAAGCCTGTGCCTTCCCAAAGGTAGGCTTGTGTTTGCCCATGCTTACGTTTATTAGAATAACTTCAATTTGTGCTTTTCATATGAATCTTAAAGCTTCATAGTCTCTGTAAGGTTTAGTGTAGTTATAATTTGTCAGTCCACCTCACTGTGCTCAGTGCCGAACGAAGTCAGAGGGGTTTCTCAGGCACCTCAGAGGGTGGTGACTTGTGACCTTCAACAGAGGGACTTAGCATGCAGAGTCAGTTTCTACTTTTATTAGCACTGTTAGTATTTATTTTATGGTAGTATAATAGAACTAGCATAATGTTACATAGTATGAGATAATATAATTAGTGTACGTATATACTTGCAAGTTATTTTTATGTGATATTTACATTACTGAAACATAGTTGATATCACACTTTTTGGATACAAATTAATGTAACTTCTAGGATTTTCTTCCCTAGCCCCGCTGAACATCTTCTATACCCTCTGGGATGCATGTGCCCTGCTGGTAGACTTAATTCTTGTAGCCTGACAGCCTTAGACGGGGCATAAATGAATGGGAGTGGTTGTGTCCCAATAAAACTTTATTTATGGACACCCATAATTGCATGTGCTGTTCACATGTGAACTTTTGATTTTTTTTTTCAACCATTAAAAACTGTGAAGACTAGGCTTATGGACAGTGTACAGAAACAGGTGCCTGGCAGGATTGAGCCTTTGGGCTGCAGTTTGCCAACTCGTGAACTGGAGGAAAATTCAGGAGTTCCTGCCAAGATGTAGTCTTGGCATCCATGTGGGAGGCGGCCTTTCTTCAGAAAATTGCAAGTGCTGGAGAAAAAAACAATGGAATTTGGTTCCTCTCATTCATTTTCACTTGTCCATCTTGCTCTTTGGTATTTCTACTACATAGTACTAAACATGCACATGAATTTTTAAAAATTATTTATTTGAGAGGTGGGGGGGTGGGTTGGGGGAGAGAGCAAGCCCGAGCAGGGGTGGAAGGGTGGGGGAGGGGCAGAGGGAGAGGGAAAAGCAGGCTCCCCGCTAAGCAGGGAGCCCCATGCCAGGGAGCCCCATGCCGGCCTTGATCCCAGGACCCCGGGATCATGACCTGAGCCGAAGGCAGATGCTTAACCGACTGAGCCCCCCAGGCGCCCTGTTCTGCACATGAATTTTAAGTTTCTTCTTCAAAAAACATTTGTGGTATAACTGACATATGCTAGTCTTAGGTGTACAACGTAATGATTCAGTATTTGTGTGTATTGCAAAATTATCACCACAATAAATCTAGTTAACGTCTGTCACCACAGTTACATTTTTTTCCTTGTGGTGAGAACTTTCAAGATGTACTCTCTTAGCAACTTTCAGATATGCAGTGTAGTGTTACGAACTGCAGTCCCTATGATGTTGAAGTTTCCTTCTTTATAAACTGTCAGCTTCCAGAGTTGGGGAAGCATGATGTTTGTAATTGGGGATTGGGGGAGTGAGAGATTTTCTGCACTTCCTGGTAAGTTTTTAGAGAAATTTAAGGAGAATGCTGTGGACCTGGTCATTCAATCCTAATGGTTTAGAGCAGGAGTTGACAAACTTCTCTAAGGGGCCAGATAATAAGTACTTTGACCGGTTGAGTCCTCATAATAACTTTATGAGTAGATGTGGATCAGCTCTGCCGTGTAGCCAGAAAACAGCTGTGGGCAATAAAGGAGCTGACTGGGGCCGTGTTTACAAAACAGGCCTATGAGGGCCTGTTGGCCTGGTATGCTGACCCCGGGCTTGGGGACATTCTTGGGGCATGGTAGAATATTTTTAAACCCTCAGAAAAATGTTGGTGACCGAGTTGTTCACCTGTGCTGAACAGGGCACTCTCAGATCTGTTTGCTTACTGCAGAGGGCCTTCTAGACTTCCTGCCGAGCACCTCCTGCTCTGAGTCTCCAAGATCCAGGTGAGGCCATTTCCTCTGAGAAGGAAGAAAGTTGGGGTTCTCCCACTGGAGAAGCTGTATTGTTTCTGCATTGGCCACGTTGGTCTAACAAGCTATTCTGATTTGATTGCTCTTAGGTGCACTATTTGCCTTTATGACTAAAACCCCCTATGGGGAGGGGCCCCCAGGCCATAGAGCTTGTGACTCTTGATCTCAGGGTTGTGAGTTTGAGCCCCACATTGGTTGTAGAGATTACTTAAAAATAAGTTCTTGGGGCACCTGGGTGGCTCAGTTGGTTGTGCTCTTGATTTCAGCTCAGGTCATGAACTCAGGGTCCTGGGATCGAGCCCCAGGTCAGGTTCTGTGCTGAGTGTAGAACCTTCTTAAGAATCTCTCTCTCCAGGGCGCTTGGGTGGCTCAGTCGGTTAAGCAG